ACCGTGGCCAAAATGGCTATCCTGGGGTTCCCCAGCTGCAGCGTAGCAATAGATAGGACACACATCCCCATTTGAGCACCTGACCCGAACAGCCCACTTCAACAGAAAGGGCTACTTTGCCATGGTGCTGCAGGCCCTGGTCGACCACCATGGACACTTTACCGATGTATTTTTGTGGGGTGGTTGGGCAGGGTACACAACACCTGCATCTTTAGAAACTCCAACCTGTACCATAGGCTGGAGGCGGGCACATTCTTCCCCCACCGGGAATGCGCCATTGGGGATGTGCAGATGCCACTATGCATCATGGAGGACGCGGCCTACTCCCTCATGCCATGGTTTACGAAGCCATACACTGGACACCTGGACCCCAGCAGGGAATAATTTGATGAACCGAGCTAGGAACCAGGTCGAGTGCGCCTCTGGCCATCGGAAGGTGCTCTTTCGTTATCTTCTGACCCTCTGGACATGGGGGAGCACAACGTTGCTGAGGTGGTTGTGGCATGTTGTGTCCTCCACAACATTGTGGAGAGGAAGGGGGAGGCCTTCCTCCCGGGCTGGGGGGACAGACACCGGCTAAGTGGGCCATGCATTTGAGCAGCCCTGGACAGTTGCCATCCAGCAAGCCCATCAGGCCAGGGTGCTCATCTGGGAAGCCCTGAGGGAGAGATTATCGTAGGCACCCCAGTAACTGTCCCCAGGGCCTCCTAACAAGGGGCCCCTGCCCAACCCCTCCCTTTCCTCCTTCCCCCACTTCCTAATAAAGGAGCCTATGTGCATGGCAACCAAACCAAACCAAACGTGCTTTATTTAACATGACTGAAAGGTAGGCAGGGGGAGGGGGCTCTGAATTGGGAGGGGGGCTTATGTTTCCCAGGGATATCTGCCAGTGCCACCTCAGGTGCACCCAGGGAAGTGTGACGTCAGTGGTGGCAGAGGAACTGGGAGCAGCCTGGGCCTCCCTGTGAGCTGCACGCACAGGGGCAGCTCCCACCAATGTGTACGGATGTGGCTGGGGGCTCTCCACAGCAGGCAGGGGCCC